TTAACCAACTAAACTTCGTTTGATCGCCCTCGAACTTTAATTCCACGTTCCAAAATATCTCGGATACATGGCAAAACCAATTACATTATAAACGAAACTTAAACGTGAAAATTTGTATTGAATCGGGAGATAAAATGCTGAAAAACAGCTTACCAAGTTTGAATTGGCAAAACAAACTTCGAAAAACATAAAATATGGCTTTTCAGAAAATTTAACTTTTTGGTCAAGGTCAATGCTTGTCAAATTCAACGGTCAGTCAAACTCAGTGAGTTGACTCGGATGGTCCCGGTTCGATCTTACTGGACTGGTTCTAGAAGGTTCCTATATCAACAAAGGAGCCACACGCGAACTGTCGGCACGTGGCGGCGCATGTGGCTATGATAGGGCCATTTTCAACGGTCTGATTGCTCTAATTACATTACTACACTACAAGCAACCCATTTCAAACCAGATAACAAGTCAAATCCACACTGAAATAACTGAAAAATAATCAAAAGCTTACCCTGGTGTCATACGAAGGAATCAGAGATGGTGGAACAACCCATCAGTTGGGTTTTGCTCAGAACGACATGAAGAGTTCCATGATACAAGCGATGAGGCAAGCGGACGGTCAATAGGGCTGAAAATTGCGAAAAATAGTACAGTGGTCGAGGTTTACTTTGAAGCTTCAAACTCCTATTCACGACTAACGACAGTGAAGCTCGACAATCAGCTAAAGGGGCTTTGGTCGCGCGACAGCAACAAGCGCGATTTTAAGGGCGATGCACAACATCGCCGGTCGAATATGGTTCATCAGAGCTTCAACAGTGATTAGGGGGTTTTAGTTTTTGGGATTTTGTTTTGAAAAAAGCTCGATTTTGATTAGAAGGTTTCCAATGTCTGATTCGAATCAGACTTAAAATAAAATTTTCATAATAAAATGAGTGGAATAGTGCCTAGCCTAAATGGTAAGGGTATGACACCTGACTACTTATATGGCCTAGGTTCAAACCCTTGAAACATTAACTATTCATTTTATTTTTTTCACTACAGACAGAAAATGGGGAATTTAATGTTTAAATCCCTAAACTTCTTGTATATATTAAAACGAGCTACAAAATTTGAAACTTTGAAATTTGGTCCCTAATTTCTTTAAATTAATTTTTATTTCAAAATGGGGTTGTGATAAGAAAGGTTTTGAAATTTTTGATACAAATTATTTTGGGTTTTGAAATCACTACTCAAGATTTCGAAACCTTTGAGACATTCTATCCAAAGCTTTAAAACTCATCTTGAAGATTTTGAAACTCTCAACCTAAATTGGTTAAATTGCTCATTTAATTCTCTTTTGATGTTTTGTATTGTTTAGGGACTTCCAAGTTATTATAATTGATAATTCATTCCTTGATAAAGTAATTTATGATGTTTTAAATAATGAAATATTCCTTTTTTTCAATTAGAGTAGGATCAAGTTACAATAAATTAATTTGATATATTTGACTCAATTTTTAACTAAGGGTCTGTTTGTTTGAAGGAAACAATTTATTTTCCCGTTTACCAATGTTTGGTTTAAAGAAAAGTAGTTGGTCAAAGTAAAACGTTTTATGGTCAAAGGAAAACAATCCCTTTTTTCCCGTAAAACAACTCATGGTCTTGATAATGGTAAGTCATTTTCCAACATGACCTTCAAAGCTCTTACCCAAAATCATCCGATCAAATACAATCACCGACTTCTCACCGGCGACATTTTTTTAGGCCAACGTTCATCTTCTCATGTAACAAAATCCCCTTTTATATATGCCTCCATGTTTTAATCTTAAATCGATTCTTCCGCCCAACGTCTCACCCCTCTCGTTTCATAGCCTTCTATCCCTCTCGTTTCACAGCCTATTAACCCTTTCTTCACCTGGTCAATCTCATAATACCCTCTTTGTCAATGTCTTTAGTACCTTCTCCATCGGTTAGCAAAAGCTTTCGCGATTGAGTCATATGCTAAATTTTCCTCTTCTTTCTGAGTGGCTGTGAACCAAAATACAAGATTGAGTTCTATTTGAAGACTCTCCCTATCATCCCGTAAGTAGCAGTCGAATTTAAATACTTTTTTTCTTTAATCCTAGGTTTGAGGAAATCTTAATGAACACTTTGAAGTTTCTAATGTTCTATTTATACTTTGCATTCAGTCTTAATTACTTATTTTTTGACAAATCTATCTCATGAAGAGTTGTTTTAAACATGAAAAAAGAATTTAATTTGGATCTCGTCCTTTTAAAACCTTAGTACATGATGAATTTGTACAATGAATTTTTATGAAAGTGTTTTTTATGAAGTTACAAAGCATCTGAGTGGTCATTTAGGCTTTATGTTGACTAACGAAGAAAATTTATAAATAGTGAAAATCTTTCAATGTATACCTTAGTGTGATATGAGCAGGAATTCAAATAAACTAGCATACTTTTTATCTAACAAAACACTTCAGTATAATGATTTATTTTCTACGTTCGAATGCTTGAAAAAAATTATATAGAAACTGAAATGGTTGTGTTTAAACCATGAGAGGATTGAAACTTGATATTGTTTCTATGAAAGATGGTTATAATGTTATGAAAAAATAAAAATCTAGCGGTGTCTTGACCTTGTCATAGTTCTTCATGGGCAAATAGATTTAGTAGGCTGGTTTTCTTTACAGTGTGAATTGTAAAACTATCAATTTCCAACTGAACCTGTCAATTTTAATGATTCAATATTACAGTGCCTGAAACATTTTATAGGATGATGATCAGAAATCGAAGAATTTGAGTTGATGATGTTTTTTGCCTAAGGTGGAGAAAATGAAGACCGTAAAATTAATTACTCAATAAAACACTAGTAACAGGACCGTAGAATTCAAGGGGTTAAACTAAAGACTCCTCATGAACTGCTGGAAATACTAAAAGATTGATGCTTTGTTTGTTTGATGTTCCCTATATTGAGTTGATGATGTTGTCATTGAACTTTAATGCAAAGAAAAGGAATGCTTTGTTCTTCCTTGGAATAAATGTACAACATAACTCGCATCATTTTCTAGTGTTTATGTTGTGAGCTCTGTTTTTGTGCAACAAGGTTGGTGGTCTATTTATGATTTTACTATCAAAAGCAATGTGGCAACTTCATATGGATCATTGAACTTTAATGCAAAGAAAAGGAATGCTTTGTTCTTCCTTGGAATAAATGTACAACATAACTCGCATCATTTTCTAGTGTTTATGTTGTGAGCTCTGTTTTTGTGCAACAAGAAGGTTGGTGGTCTTATTTATGAATTTTACTATCAAAAGCAATTGTGGCAACTTCATATGGAATATGATAAGGTAGTTTTTTTTATTGAATTTAGGTGCTCATATTACATTAGACTCGTATTTTTTACTAGGGTGTGAGTTCTTTCTGTAATGTATCCTTTAGTGATGTGGAATGTCATTATTTTCTAAAATGAATTGCACAAAATATGACAAACATGCTCAATCAGCAGAACTTATTATGGATACTCAACTTGCTATGTATGTTTTCTATGATTTTGGAATTGTTGCAGGTGGTTCAAGAATGTCTTTGGTGTATATGATGAAGAGGTCATTGATGCTATCAATGTATTTTTAATAAATTATCAATATAAGTATATCAATTGAAGCTACCTATAACATTAATTATAAGCTAAAATATAAATTTATAATAATAATTTTAGAAAATAGAAAAACACGAGAATAATTTATAAAATATGTATGTTTGTTAACGGAAAATAGATTTTCAAAATTGTTTTCAGAAAAAATTACCAAACAGTGAAAAACATTTTACACTGCATCATCCAAACAACAGAAAATGTTTTCTGAAAATGTTTTCCATAAATGTAACTCATTTTTCAGAATCAGTTTTTCGGAATTCATTTTGGGTGAAACAAACATACCCTAATATTAGATCGAGGGTGTTACATAAGATGACGAAACTGGGATGCCCATTTTGACTTATGATGACCCTGTTTTGATTGATAATAACCTTATTTTAATTGATGATGTCCTTCTATCATATCAACCTCTATTTCACACGCATGGAATATATTATGGTGCAATAAGGGTTTTTGAATTCTTAAATATGATATATTTAACTCTATGTCACTTGACTTTTTTCTTGGTACACTTAGATGAATTGTCCATTTGAAATCAATTTAAAGAAAAAGATGTTATGCTGGAAATTAAGGGTTATTGCAGCAAAGGTTATGTAGATTGTTATGTTAAGCAAAATATAATGATGTTTAGTTTTGATGATTGAGATAAATTGTGTAATAAGCTTCTAGTATTATTACAAACAATGAAATGATTCATCTCAAGAGCTATTATGAACTATTTGAAGTACATATTGATGTACACGTACACCCCAAAAAGTCAACTCTTCCATGATAAGAGAATATTCCATCAATTGTTCTGGTATTCAAATCATACATATTGATATCCATTCTATAAATGTATGATCCAAGTCAATGATACGTAGTTGTATGAAAAATACAAACAAATATTATTCTTGGCAATTGCAAAAAATGATGACTGAAATATCTTCTAAATTGTTTTTGTCAAAGTCCATCATCCAATAAGATGAGATTTGCTTGATATCTGATACATCAAAATATATTCCATCCACAATTAAATGATTATGAAGTCGTTGGATGTCTTTACATGCATATCTTGTATTTTTTTTTGTCATATTGCAATAAATAGTATACATCAATTTTAAAATAAAGAGGTTTTGTAATTAAATTTTAAACATGAATAATTTTTAGTTTATAACATTCAATTATATGTGCGTATCCAATTTTTTTTTTTTTTTTTATGTTTTCTTTAGTTTTAACTACATATATTGAAACATGATATGAACTGGTTCAATTAAACTTCGATACATGGTTAGACAATATAAAAATTCACATATTTTTGGCTTAAGCCACTGTTTGGGGAAACAAATACAATTTACAACTTACAAGCCCAAGGTGAGAACCATGATGGATGATGCTTTACAGAGATGGTGTTAATGATTACCCAATTGCCACTGTCATTCTCCACTTATCATTACTGACTGAAATGGCACTCTTTTAATTTCCACTATGGTGGAATTCTCCCTACTCATCGGCTGTTTCCATGGCTCCCCATCCATCTGCAAAAATGTATCTCTCCATTCCCCTCCCCTTAACTCCAGTCGAATCGATGCCGCCTGAAACACCAAAGGAACAAAGTTTAGTCCATCCCATTCTTTTACTCCAACATTATTTTTAACCAACTTCGATTCGTTACCATGAAAACTTCCTGGTTACAGTACCTGTGCGATGTGTTTTGCAGATATCAGTTCAACCATTACAAATGATGCATGCCATCCTTGCTTTAAGCAAAAAATTTCCAGAAGACCATCATCGACATGGGCCTCAACAAAGCCTCTCTGAAAAAAATAAACAATGAAAATTGGGGCCAATTGTTTTAGATTTAGAACTCAATCAAGCTACTCCATTATCGTAAGTCGTACATTGATCCATACAAGAGTATTATCAAGTAATCTGAACAAAATGTACCATACTTTTTCCAAATACTCTGGCTTTAGATTGCCCCATGGGTTTCGTCCACTTCCATAACTATGAAGATTTAAAGCAACAATTGCCCTCACACTAAAAGAAAATAGCATACTATTAGCGAGTGATAAATCATAAGCCTAGCAACAATTTCCAATACAGTTTGTTATGTATAAGCTTCGTTAAAAGAAATATTTATGGATATACATGATAAATGTGAAGACTAAAAAATGAATGATTAGGGTGCTTATGCATCACAAGGCAAAAATAAATACTTGAAATGTACCTTCCAGGTATTGTAATTGGCTCCCACTCTGAGCAGTTGGCCCTTTTAATGTGGATACTTAAAATGTTATTGAGTCCCCTGCATTCGAAAACATCTTAAGAATATATTTACCAGAAAAGGAATGGATGTTCACTGCAGAACACCATTAACAAGAAAGAGAGTTTCTTCATAAAATTCATAGTTTACTTTCTCTCATAAAACAAATTCTATTAAAAGATCTTGGGGTAAATGTAAACAAGCATTTCAAGACCACATGCATTACAACAACGATGATGTTTTACGAGTTTGAGAAACGTTTAAGACACAAACAATGTGTTAAAGGCAGAAGAGACTGCCAATGCACATAGACTTTCTATTAACAAGTACGGAAATACATTTGCATGAGAAAAGCAATGTGCTGATATAATGCAAATATAAATGGAATCCTTTTAGGTTTTGTATGAACACATGTACTATCAATTCCGAGTAGAGTTTTAAAAAACATAAAAATTAAGGAACACTTCACAGAGGCACTCATCTGTCAAAACAATGTGCCTAAGCATCAAGGCCTTATCTTATGTAAATGCTCTTTTCAGCATTATTCTAAGGAACAAGGAGGCAATGTGCTGATATAATGCAAATATAAATGGAACCCTTTTAGGTTTTGTATGAACACATGTATTATCAATTCCGAGTAGAGTTTTCAAAAACTTAAAAATAAAGGAATACTTCACAGAGGCACTCATCTTTCAAAACAATGTGCCTAAGCATCAAGGGCTTATCTTAGGTAAACGCTCTTTTCAGCATTATTCTAAGGAACAAAGAGGCAAGGATGCCTTAGCTACACCTTCTCCAGATGATTCAAACCTTAGCCAAGTGCTATTACATTTAAGACACTTCATGTCTTGTGCCTCAGCACCATCGTCAAGGCCTTGGTTACACTGTCTGAGGAACAATCGCATCTTAAACAAATGCTAGTTACACACTAACATACTACAAATATACGTAGCATTTTAATTTAGAAATTGGAATATGCTCTTTATTGGATAAGGAATAGGCCATAAAACTATCAGAATATCTAACCTTAAAGATGGATCACTCATACAAGGTGTGAGAAACCAACCCTGACTACAACTGTAACAGGAGTAGATAATCTGCCACAAAAGATGGACCAGTTACAATCTAATATTAGTTTTAGCAAAGCAAACCATTGACGGGAGCAGAGAAACTAATTTGAATTTCAAATGCTATCCCACACACTGAAGTTTAACTTAAGTGATATTAGTAATACATTTTGCGCAAATCAATCCTAACGTGAATAATAAGACAATCAAGGAAGTATTGCAGATATTAGTTCATAACATTATCAGTGGCGATGTTTGTGTGGGAATTACTATGAACAGATTTAAGTGACGAAAGAGGGGGAGCTGAGCCCTTAGCTTGGCCACTGTTTCTCAGATTATCTGTGTTATCGATGAACTTCTACAGCAGTAGTTATATAAAAATTAAATTGTTAAATGATTTTTTCCTGGACTTTGAATTGGCAATATATGTATGTTTATACAATTCAAAAAAGAACTATGAAACAACCTCTTTAAAAGAAATATATCAAGAGAAGAACAAAATGTGTGGTCACAAAATATATAATATATGTTCAGAAAAGATTCAAGCAAGACAAATCTCTTCCTATATATATATATATATATAGTGAGAGATAGAGAGAGAGAGATTTAATTTATACAGGCAAGACGATAATTTCTTACCCTCCTTTTGGCTATACCGTAACTAATATCATAACATGGTTATAATCTGTAGTTATCAATATAGTTTGATAGATAGCAATATAACCGTTATGCACTTCAAACTAAAAAAGCTACATCACAATATAATGTCAAGAGATTCAAGACAAAATGTTATCGAACTTGCAGTCAAATTTGAAAAAACGAGATCCATATACCTTATTTGAAATAGGACCTTTGCAAGGTAAGGTTTGTCATTCCGTAAATTATGGAATCCGTAAGCCACTTGTGCATCCATTCCTGAATGTAAAATGAAAACATAAAGATTTGTAAGAGCCCAAAAATGGTCATAATAATAATACAAAAACACCATAAGCAAGAATGAGAACGGTGTTGTTCCCAGCAAGACAACTTCATATATGATTTGCGAACTTTTCATGACTCCCAGCTTTTTCTATACATTGTTAATGAGTTTTCTTGATCCCTCAACTTGTAGGAGTGTGGATCTTCTAGAATATTTTTGTGATTGTAAAAGGAAAATAAAATTTGGATGATTTAGAAGTTAAAATTTATTTTAATAAAGCAAAAGAATCTTTATAAAACTCTAATCATCCTTGGACTCTACTAGGGATTTGGTTCAGAATGCTACCACTCTATTCTGTTTCTCTTGAAATAAAATTGCTAGCCTTGATATTAGCTAGGATGCTGATGATTATGAAGCTTCTAAGATAAAAATGCAGCTACCTACTAAGTTTATTTCCACATGCATGAAATTAAAAGAACCAAGATCTTAAAGTAACCGGTATAATATACCTATGCTGAAGTAATTATAGAATACTCCTTGATAGCAGTTGACTTTGTCTGGAACATGCCCTTCAATCTTCAGAGTCTGCAGTCAAACAAGAATTTCCCTACTCGAATTTGAAATTCCAAATCATATGAATAACAACTGGTAATTAGAGCTTTTTGGTTGTGAATTTTATCAATTTTTTGCGAGGTTACTATTTATTACTGTTCACGTGAATAGTAAATTTCGTGAATAGTGAAATTTTGTCGACGATACGAATTTGTCGACGGAGGTGTTCTAATACACGGTGGTTCGCAAGAATTGTCAGAAACGATCCAAACAAATCCAGATTCGAGTGAGAGCGATGGCTGCAGACGAAGGGAATGTGAAAATTGAAAAGTTCGATGGTGCGGACTTTGGCTTTTGGAAGATGCAGATTGAAGATTTTTTGTACCAGAAAAATCTATATCAACCCCTCTCAGGAAAGCAACCAGAGGGCATGAAGAATGAAGACTGGGCTCTTCTCGATAGACAAGCCCTCGGAGTTATCCGACTGACATTATCCAGCAATGTTGCTTTTAACATAGCAAAGGAAAAGACCACGACGGGTCTTATGGCGGCTCTCTCCAGTATGTATGAGAAGCTTTTAGCCTCAAACTCAAACAAAGTTCATTTGATGAGGCGATTATTCAATTTGCGGATGACGGAAGGGGCATCGGTGGCACAACACCTGAATGAACTCAACAAAATCACAACCCAGTTGAGTTCAGTGGAAATTGAATTCGATGATGAAGTTCGAGCTTTAATTCTCTTATCATCTCTACCAGACAGTTGGAATGCTACTATTACAGCAGTCAGCAGCTCGTCGGGAAACAGCAAATTAAAATTCGACGATGTTCGGGATCTGGTATTTAGTGATGAAATTCGACAAAGAGAATCGGGTGAAGTGCACACGGAGTCCAGAGGAAGAACTTCAGAAAGAAATTCAAATCGTGGCAGATCGAAATCCAGACGGGGAAAATCAATAACGGGAAAGAAAGATTTTAGCTGTTATAACTGCGGCAAGAAGGGTCACTTTAAAAGAGATTGTCGAGCACTGAAGAAAAATATCGGCGCACAGGATTTTGCCAACGTGACAGAGGTGACAGGAGATGTCATGATTCTAAGTGTCAACAGTCCGATTGAATCATGGATCTTGGATTCATGGGCATCTTTCCACTCCACACCATGCCAAGAAATCATGGAGAACTATGTCAGTGGTGATTTTGGGAAGGTTCATCTAGCTGATGATGAAACTTTGAAGATCGTCGGAAAAGGAGACATCCGACTAAAGCTGCCAAACCAGACCACCTGGAAGTTGACAGGAGTGAGACATATTCCTGGCCTCAAAATAAATCTGATTTATGTTGGACAGCTTGATGGAGAAGGATATAATATAACCTTTTCAGGTTGTGAATGGAAGATTACCAAAGGAGCACTCGTCATTGCTCGTGGTAAGAAGACTGGTACTCTCTATGTAACTTCAAATTTAGAGAATATCATTGCAGCAGCAGGTGCTGATGGAAAATCAAACCTATAGCATCAAAGGCTTGGCCATATGAGCGAGAAAGGAATGAAGATATTTCTGTCAAAAGAGAAGCTGTCGGATCTAAAGAATGTAGATGTCGGACTATGCGAGGATTGCATCTTTGGCAAACAAAAGAAAGTCAGCTTTACAAAGATTAGCAAGACTCCCAAGGCAGAAAGGTTAGAATTGGTTCATACTGATGTATGGGGACCATCCTCAGTTTCATCTCTTGCAGGCTCACTTTATTATGTCACCTTCATCGATGATTCAACAAGGAAGGTATGGGTTTATTTTCTGAAGAAGAAATCAGAAGTCTTTGATACCTTCAGAAAATGGAAGAACATGGTGGAAAATGAGACTGGTTTGAAAGTCAAACGATTGAGGTCTGATAATGGAGGAGAATACAGAGACAGTAGATTCACAGATTTCTGCGCAAACAATGGGATCAAGATGGAGACAACAGTTTCATAACACCGCAGCAGAATGGCGTAGCAGAGCTCGTGAACAGAACTCTGAATGAACGTGCCAGAAGCATGAGGATACATGCCGGATTGCCCAAATTGCTATGGGCTGAAGCTATCAACACTGCAGCTTACCTGATCAACCGTGGGCCCTCAGTTCCTTTGGATGGTGGAATACCAAAGGAAGCTTGGAGCAAGAAAGAAATAAACCTTTCACACTTAAGAGTGTTTGGTTGTATTTCTTATGTACACATAAACTCTGTTGAAAGAAGTAAACTTGATGCCAAGTCCAACAAATGTGTCTTTGTTGGTTACGGTGGTGATGAGTTCGGTTACCGGTTTGGGGACTACGAAAATCGAAAGATCATCAGAAGCAGAGACGTCATTTTCAATGAAAATGTGATGTACAAAGACAGGTCAACTGCAGAATCGAGTAATACCGAGGCTGAAACAAAGGAATTTGCTGAGTTCGAGGAGATTTCTGGAAATGATATCCAGATCAATCCTGAAGCAGTTCAAGAAGAACCACGCACACCATAACTGAGACGCTCCTCCAGAATTCCTAAACCAACCCAACGTTATTCGCCTTCTTTGCACTACTTGTTGCTGACTGACAATGGTGACCAGAGTGCTATGATGAAGCAATGCAAGTGGAGGATTCAGTCAAGTGGGAGTCTTCCATGAAAGATGAGATGGACTCGCTTATGTCAAATCAGACGTTGGAATTAGCTGAATTACCATCAGGCAAGAAAGCGCTCCATAACAAGTGGATCTACAGGATCAAAGAAGAGCACGATGGGAGCAAACGCTACAAAGCAAGATTGGTTGTCAAAGGTTTTCAGCAAAAAGAAGGTATTGACTACAATGAAATTTTCTCTCCAGTTGTAAAACTGTCTACAATCAGACTGGTGTTGAAAATTGTAGCTGTAGAGAATTTACATCTTGAGCAATTAGATGTAAAGACAACATTCATTCATGGTGATTTGGAGGAAGAAATCTATATGAGGCAGCCAGAAGGTTTCATAGAGGCAGACAAGAAAAACCTGGTATGCAGGTTGAAGAAGAGCTTGTATGGTTTAAAACAAGCTCCTAGACAGTGGTACAAGAAGTTCGATAACTTCATGAGTAGCAGTGGTTTTACCAGATGCCAAGCAGATCATTGTTGCTACATCAAGAGGTTCAACAACAACTTCATTATTCTATTGTTGTATGTTAATGACATGCTCGTTGCAGGCTCAGACATGCAAGAGATTATAAACTTAAATCAAAAATTGTCGAAGCAGTTTGCTATGAAGGATCTGGGCGCTGCAAAGCAGATTCTTGGGATGAGGATCAAGAGAGACACAAAGTCGGGGACTTTGATGTTATCACAGGCTGAGTATATCAACAAAGTACTCTCCAGGTTCAACATGCAAGATGCTAAACCAGTAAGTACACCTTTAGGTGTTCATTTCAGACTCTCCAAAGAACAGTCACCAAAGACGGAGGAAGAACGTGCACACATGGTAAAGGTGCCGTATGCTTCAACAATTGGAAGTCTGATGTATGTCATGGTTTGTACTATACTAGATATTGCTCATACAGTGGGAGCTGTTAGCAGGTACATGAATAATCCAGGCAATGTACACTGGGAAGTTGTCAAATGGATCCTCAGATATCTGCGGGGTACTACAAACAAAGCACTTTGTTTCAAAGGTGGAGATACGATACTGACAGACTATGTAGATGCTGACTTAGCCGGAAATGTTAACATCAGAAAGAGCACTACAGGGTATGTTTATACTCTAGGAGGTAATGCAGTGAGTTGGGTTTCTCAACTACAGAAGATAGTTGCTCTCTCCACAACTGAAGCAGAATATGTCGCTGTTACGGAAGCCAACAAGGAGATGGTTTGGCTCCAAAGTTTCTTGGAAGAGTTAGGCAAGAAACAAGAGAATAATGTATTGTACTGCGATAGTCAAAGTGCTATACATCTAGTAAAGAATCCGTCTTTTCATTCTAGGACGAAGCACATACAATTGCGATATCATTTTATCCGGTCTCTTCTGGAAGATGGGATTTTGAAACTTGAAAAGATTAGCGGAGCTCAAAATCCGGCAGACATGTTGACAAAGACGGTGACCACGGACAAACTGAAGTTGTGTTCAGCTTCAGTTGGCATGCTAGAGTAACAAGACCAGAAATGATGCTGCATTGATCAAGGTGTGAAGTCAGATTAAAATCAATCTTCAAGTGGGAGATTGTTGGAAAAGTCAAGAAAATGGAGATAGAAAGGGGAGCTGATTTTTTCAACAATGGAGAGCACATTTTCAGCAAAGGGGGGCACCGAATTCGGTGCCCTAATTTTTAATTATAATTGAAATATGATTAATTACAAGATTAGTCCCTTAGCTTCAACTATAAATATCATAGCCCATTTAGCTTCAAAATCATCCCAAAATCTTCCACTTCTCTCTCAAGTGTGTTTTGTAAACACCTGTAATTTTATCTCTTAGTAAAAGATCTGCAGCAGTCCGGAGACGTAAGCACAATTGGCTGAACTCCGTTATCAATTTTTCGGGTATTATTTTTCCGCTTTTATTTCGCATTCTCACTAATCTGGTTATATAGAAATTACTTGTTACTCGGTTTATTCCCCAACACTCTCCAGTGAAGAGAGAGCGGAACACAATTTTTTACACAATTACCTCACTACAAGAGATTTATTATCATCTACTTGGTCAATTGCATCAATGCCAAATTAAAGAACTTGATGGTCAAAGGTCATAAACTACAATCAATAAAGCATCAATGTTCACATGTTCAAAACTAGCCACACAATAGAAGTTGATTGAGTAAAATGGAGGATTTATAGTCGAGAATTTCACTACCTGATCAACATCACACTCTTCAGCAGGCTTCAAAGAATGAGGAGGATCGACAACTTCTCCGCCAGGCATTTGCACCACAACATGCCAACTACATCATCAAACAAACAATTACCGATATAACATAACCACAAAGTGGGATTTATACAACGATGATGTCTTATCCAAACTCATTTTTGGAGTTAGGAAACTAAAACATACAAAGTCCTCAATAAAGGATTATGGAACTTATAAAACAAAAGGCAATAAGTACTCCCCATAAGTAAAACATAGAACTAGCTGTCCAGTTACCTATCTAAATGGCAAATTGGACCGGTAGTAGCTCTCTGCAGAGTTCTTTTAATAGCTGATTTCCAGGAAAAAGGAAATGAACCTCCCTGCAATTAACATTCAGAGAAGGAGGCAACAAAAGAAGAGAAGAAAAACAGTAGACAACATCAAATTTAAAAAAGATATCTTACCCAGCCTAAACTTCTAGACAAGTCATTACCAGTACCAAGCGGAATGATAGCTACAGGAGGAACCGGCAACCGACCCTCTTGATGAAGCTCTCCAAGACATCCAAACACCCAACCAACTGTACCATCACCACCAGCAACCTGCCCAGTCATCCAGAGTCTTAAACCATCAGCTTGGAATGTTTTTTTAAAGTTAACTTCGTTATTTGTTTTACACTTCCTAGAGAATCGTTAAAAGCCAAATCATAGTTGATCAAACATGAAACCCAATACTATTAGTTCTGTATAAAAGCAAATCATGTACTTCTTTCTTACAAGAAAAGTTTTGCAATTTTATCTTTAAAAAAATTATTTACTTGTAGATCTAAAATAGTCTCCTTTTTTAACTCTTTCAGAAGTTAAATAAAATAAAACAAAGACGAAAACCAAACTGTAACTAAACTAAAAACATTAAAAATACTAATAAGAGGAAAAAAAAGAGAGAGAATATTGAAGACAAGTTTGCTAGAATAAAAAGCTGGTAGAAACATACCACAACTCTGATGTTCATCCTTGTCTCTTTGGCACAAGCGTCTCCACTTTCAGCCCACTTCTCAAGGCAAGCCAGTCCATACCGTACAAATTCATGCGGTTTCACATCATGGAGGTCAAACACCTGAATATCCAAAGTAGAATTTCTTTAAAAGCTAAAGCAACCCAAATTCAAAAACATACACATAAAACAGGGGAGAAAAGAAGTATTGCCTGTTCTTCGCTGATCAAGTTCTGGAGACGCTCTTTAAGGACGGGGCCATGGCGGCCGCCACTTTTGGGATTAATAAAAACGACGATAGGGGTTTCACAAGAGGGATCATCGTCGGAGCGAGGCATTTGGAAATGCTGGTCACCGCCGTCGACGTCCTGTTTTCTAATGGAATCTAGTATAGCTAAGCGTAGATATTGAGGCATGGCAAGCCTTGCGAAATCTTGCTTCTCCGCCCTAAATGTTGTGAAATTGGAAAAGCCGCAACCCATGGTCGCCGTCTCCCTCGAGATGATACGCGTACCGGTCCGTGACGTCGAAGAATCACCGGCCGGCGTTGGCTTATCCATATCTTTTTCCATAAATTTCGACCTTTATTTTACAAAACATAATAAAAATATAAGAGTGAAAGGTGTATATGAAATATTTAAAGATTTCAGTGCCAGAGAAGAAGGAAGGAAAGGCAGAGTTTTTAATTTTTTTTCTTTGAGGTTAGTTTTTTTGAAAATTGAAAAGCGTTGCGGTTGTTAAGATGGCTCAAATTAAAAAGGAGTAGTAAATTACGAAACTGCCGGACAATTGTTGATGGTTTTCTGGCAGGCAGTTCATTTTCGATCATATTTGACTCGGACTTTATAGGAATAAAATATATAATGAGATTAGGGAAGGAGTAACGTTCAACAAATGGGGATGAGATCAAATATAATGTTCGGAATTGCATGTGCGTCACATAAGATTTTCTCCTACTCCCAAAGCTTAGAATCTGCCCTCCCCCACAACTTTTAGGGTTTGGTCACTCAACTTCTAGAGTATCTGCACTCTAGTCATCGAAACCAAAAATATTTTTTTATCACTCGACCGTTAACAGTATCATATTCATAAATTTTTTTAAAAGTAGACACAATTAAAAACACAAAATTTTATAATTGTGTCACAGCACAAGTGAAATTTCAGGACGGACACAATTAAAAAAATGAATAACTAATAGATGAAATTTTAGATTTTTAGATAGACACTCGCGAATCTCAATTGTGATAAAAATATGTCGTTGATGGTTATACCATTGATAGTAATTGATGTGTCACCCGTAATCGTTTTTCTTAATAAATTAATGTCATCCGACAAAATGGCAATATGTTTCATTATCTTTTAGATAAGAAAATGATGAGAAAATAATCTAATTCTTAATTTCATCTATTCTTCGCAAAGTAAGGATTCCTATAAACGATATGAAATCTAGCCTGCAACATTCATAATTGATATAAAAATCAAAGGCATAGGGCCATCGTTGGCACCACCAAACTCAAAAGAACATGATAGGGCCATCGTTGGCAACAGCCAGCTCAATGAGTCATGTACGTTGCATTTGGCAGTTTTCACAATCTTTGACACCGCCCAATTTCAAAAGCTGGAACTCACAGGCAGACCATTCATTTGGGGTTCGATCGGATACAACAAATGGGGGAAACAATGGCATTCCCAGAGCGTTTTCGAGAGCAAAATCGGCCGAATGGTGGATCAGCAGAAGGGTGTTTCACATCCTTTGATTGCATGCTTTATAAGCCATTGTGGGTGGAACTCGACGACTGAAGGTTTGAGCAATTGCAGATGAGTTCTACAACCAGATTAAGGTATATCTCTGGAGAGGGATCCTAAGGAGAGATGAAATGAGAAATGAGGTGGAACAGGTGGAGGGCACAAAGCGACGTCTAACACTGATGCGCAACATAAGAGAAACCGTTGGATCTAACAAAAACTTTATGTATTTTGTTGAATTGTTAAATGAATAGATGGATAAATATAGTAAGAAACATCTTTTTGTATGTCCAATTGGTGATTCAAATCATTGTTTACTAATGTATATTTATTTATAAAACATGTTAACCACTTTAAAACGGGTAATTAAGAGTTATCAGTTGATATATCTTCTTTATCTTAAACTATAGGTTCAATATCAATTAAGAGTAAAATTCTCCACCCCTACGTAGAAATTGTTAAAATAAATTATGTATAAAACATTTATATGCCCGAATGAGATTCAACTTACAATCAAAACCTGAGAGAGATAGAATTGTTCATGGTTTCCATCATCACACGTTGGAAAATACTAGTATCACCTAGGATGATTATTTTATTTGCATTCAATAGATTTGAGTCGATTTAATCTGATTGAGTCATTTTTTATTTTAAAATTTTAGATTTGAGTTGATTCAAATTTTTTAGGAGTGGAGTTGGGTTTGTGGATTTAAGTCGAAAAAAACTCATCTCGATTAAAAACTTAATGGACATGTTGTCGGGACAGTTCTAGTGGACGAACAATCATTCCAATCGATGGACCACAAGAGAACGATGAGTCGACCAACATAGTCCAATTTTAGGCCCATCAGACAGTTGATAATGGAGATCAGAGAATGAAGAATTTGAAGAGTCCATCATTGATTTGGGATGATTGAGGCATTTTTCGGTGAAACGGAGGTGGAATCACGTTTTGGGTGTCGAAAAGGTGCTAAAACATACTAAAATTGATAGTTTAGGTAATAAATATGTAATTTACCCTAAAAACTACCCCTTCCTAGCATGGATTTGTATTGAACTATTTTAATAAGGGTAAATTATAAATTTTGTAACTAAACTTTATCTCCTATTTCATCCGTTGTACTTTAAATATTTTCAATTTCCTCGCTGAACTTAATACATTAGATTCTTTTGGTCAATTGTTTCCTCACTAACGACGTATAAATGAGCTTTTATAAAGATGCATAATGAAGTCATTTTGGTGAACATTTTGTTTTTCTTTAAAACGACGTCGTTTTAACGCCGTTAATTATTTAACTGTGAAGTGACCAAAAAGCCTAATGTATTAAGTTCAGTGAGAAAATTGAAAACTGAAGATATTCATTTTTTTTCATTTTAATTTTATTTATATTATTATTATTATTATTATTATAATTATTATGATTATAATTATAATTATAATTATTATTAATATATATTATTTATTTATTAATATTACAAAACCCAGAGTCCAATAATCAGGCCCATATTACAGGCCCAAATCCAGAAGCCCAATAGAAACCCTAAACCAGATTAGGGTTTCCCTCTATCCAGCCGCCTCAGCTTGCTGCCGTTGGATCTGGCATGATCCAACGGTCCAAGAACCTCCAGATGCAAACCCTAGGGTATGATACCCTAGGGCCACGCGGCCGCCGCTGCTGCTCTCGCCATCTTCACCGCTGCCACGTCCCAACCGAAGGCTCCAGAAGCTCCAACGCCAGCTGTCCACGCCATGGCTATGGGGTGAGTCACCACTGGGAGTCCGGTGACTCACCGAAGGGTATTCTTTTACCCGGTCCGATGGCCACACCGGTGATGGCTATAAAGCCATCACCACATCTGCGAGCAAAAAAGGAGAAGAACGAAGAGACAAGGAAACAACAGAAACAGAGAGAGATACAAAAACTACCAACGATCCAGTCAACAACAACACAGCAACAACAAAAAAAAAGAGAGGAGAGAAGCTTACCAAAGAAGCCTTGACCATCGCCGGAAGCACTAAACATCGCCGGAGAACAGAAAATACCGAAGGTATTTTCATAGATTTACTCCGATTAGGAGTCTTTTTGGGGAAACAAAGGTCGGATTCGGTCTTAGGGTGTTTAGATCTACGTTTTAGGTGAATTTAGGGAATTTCCGACCATCGGAGGCAGTGGTCGGCGGCAGAATTCGCGGCGGCAGACGGCTGCCGGATTCCCTCCGGTGAGGGAATATAGAGAGAGGCCAGAGAGAATTCTGGCTCTCTCTGTTTGAGAGAGAAAAAAAGAAAAGAAAATGAGATAGCTGGCCCGAGGGGCCAGCCGGTTTGGGCATTAAATAGCCCTTCCCAAACGACGCCGTTTTGGGGAGGGCTATTCGTGTAATTAAATAATAGTTAAATCCTTTCCGCAGTCAGCTTAATTTGTAAACTTTACATTTTAGTCACTAAATCAATTTATAATCCTTTTAATTCGGTTCTTTAATTTTAATTTAATTTATTTTAGTCCTTTGTATTAAAATAATATATTTAGGATAAATGACAGATTTAATCCCTTAATTTTAATAAATAATATTTTAATCCCTAGTTTATATTTTTAATTTATTTTAATCTTATATTCGAATTTTAGATAAGTTTATTTTAGTCACTAAATTATTAAATAAGAAAATAGCATGTTTAATCCCTGTAATTTTGATTAATTATGAATTAGGCTTTTTAATTTTAATTTTACTATAATTTAGTCACTTATTTTAAATATTTTTTATTTTATTGCTTTTAAATATATAGCTCTAATTGTATTTTTTTAATTTTACTTGTTTATATATTTAAATATTTTTATTATGTAGCCATAAATATATATAATAAATAAATATTTATTTTAAATAAATTATTTTAATATTTATTTTTCAATATCGAAGAAAAGGACAGTCTTAATACAACTGGATGTCCTATTTTGGTATTTTAAAATTAAAAATTATAAAAAATATTATTTAATTTAAATTAATATTTATCAATATCAAAGAAAATAGTTGTCTTAAGGCACCTAGAAGTCCTTTTCTGATATTTTTATATAATTTTTATATAATTTTGAAATAGTAGGATTATAAATTAAATATATTTTGAATTTTTTAAATTTTAAATAATAGAGACAATTTATAATTAAAAAGTACCAATTTTGGGCGTTGTAGGGGTGCTAATCCTTCCCTAAACGTAACCGATCACGAATCCCTTTTTATTATTAAAAAGAATGAATTTTTGGTTATAAACACAGATCAGTTCATTTTTTTTAATTGATGTTTTCTTAAAACTCTTTTAAAAAATAATAATAATTTTTAAGTATTCGACCTACATGACCCAAAAGGCCGATGGCAACTCCCAAATTATTTTCCAAACCATTTATTCACATCCATTTTCCCGCCAAAATAAATATTTCGTGCCCGGACGAAAACCGGTTACGACAGCTTGGTGACTCCGCTGGGGACCGGTCAAACTTTAAAATCAATTATAAATTGTCTCTATTAATTAAAAATTAACAGTTAATATATTTAATTTTTAATTCTTTCTTTTCAAAATTTTTATTTACTTATTATTTTCATAATATTTATATGTTTCATTTTATTTGCAAGTATTTTATTTCATTATTTATTTTTCTGTCAAAGGTTTGAATATTTCTCCTCACGCACAACACTTGCATTGCATAATATAAAGCTCTATAATTGAGTTTATCCCTTTTAAGTGGGAGTGAAAGCGACGTCTTCGTGAGAATTTATTCTCCGTGTCAGACCTAGCAAGTAACTTTCGGGGTTCATATGCTCTATGTCTTCGTGAGAATTTATTCTCCGTGTCAGGCATATAGAAA